TACTGTTTCAATTTCTTTCGGCTTTATCATATAACCTTCTTTATACATTCGATTTAATTGCCGATAAGCATAATTAATATTAATTATATCGATATAATTAATAACATTAATATAATAAATATATAAATATAATAGTAACAGTTCACCTTGAATATTTTTTAAAAAGCATTAACATAACATTGATCGTACAATACTGTGAGAATCGTTAATTATTTGTTACTCATATCAATCTTTATTATACCCAATCAAACACGTTTTTGCTTTATACAGTATCGTTATATAACCGGCGGGGAATATAAAAAAAAGAAAAAAAAGAAAAAAAAAAAAAAAGAGAAAAAAAAACAGATCATTTCTTTTTGTTTTGTTTCCAAATGTAACATATATTTTTTAATATTGATCGTATTCCATTATATCCTGTAGCATGAAGCTCGATTTAAAACAGATTTCTATCATTTGTCGAACGATAAAGAAGAATGAAGAATATAATTGGATTGTCTTTGTTATAAGGATTTACTATAAAGCCATTTATGTTTGTATTTTTCATTCTTCAATATTAATGGTAAATGTTATTAATAATAATATAAATTTTTATTATATACTAACATAACGTCGATATGATAAAATTTGTATTTGGAGAAATTTATACGATGAAAATATTACTGACAATGTTTATAGTTATCGTAGATTATTTTTCAATTAAGAATAATTTTTATCGGTCGTTTCAATTATTTAATTTCAAAAATAATTTCTACGAAAATTCTTTCTTAAAATCATTTTTTTTCTTTTGTTTTTGCTACGTTTTAAATATGTACATATATGGTAAAAGATTGATTTTGTATACGTTGAACGATCATTGAAAATAATTTATAGATAATACGCGAGTAAGAGAATCAATAAGAAAGAAAGATATAATCGATAAAAGAATATATTTTTTTAATTATACATTAAATTAAACCAAACTATAGTAATCGAAAAAATAACTGTTATAGAATTGATATGGAATCAATATAATATCGGTTCTAAAGGATCGAAACCGAAACCAAAACCGACACCGGATACGGACGAGAATGGTTAGATATATCCATAACAGTTAGAAAATTTGTTCGATTCTCATAACTATTTCAAGAACCGAAACCGATATCATAACTGTTTTTAATCCCTAGTGCAAACTCAACAATGCATGTTCTCTTATGGGGTAGAGATTGGTTGACAGAAAACTATACTCTTTCAATATGCAACAGCAATCTATTTAATAGGTGAAAAGTAACACCTGGTTAATTATTTAATTATTACCTCGTTATATGGTACGCCACGAAGTGTAAAAATGTTATGCAAGGGACAACATCATTAAAATATATTTTTTACAATTTTAAAATCCATGTCTTACAGATAATTTTTCCGAGCCCGAATAAACGTATTGTTATTATTTTAATGAAAAATTGAAATGTTTCAATCGCTGTAAACATACGATGTTCTTGTAATTGATTCGAATCAATGGATTCGATCAATATATTCATATAAATGTTTTTACCAATTTTATTAATAACATTTTGTTATTCTTACAAAAGTATTTATCGCTTTTTTATCGCGTATGTATTTTATATTCCATAGATTTTTACAGCTTATTAAACATCATTGAAACGAGTTAAATAAAGAATAAAAATTGATGATCGATTATGTTCGTTTTTCGTGTACTTTTTACATTTACGCTCGATATTTTCTTGAGGTTGCTGAAGGTTAAGAATACAATTAGAACGAAAAATAAACTGATGCCTTTCAGCATTTTCAAAACAAACTCTCGGTATCCTATTACGCCATTGTCGAACACTCTCTAATTTTTAGATCCTTAAAGTCACTCATGCGTTCAACTATCACCTTCTAAGAGACATGAAACAGTTTAGATCTTCTTCAATTTCTTTTCTTCTAAACATATACCTCTAGAAATTCTTTGAATCTTGACGCCAGCCAAAACCTCGTCTCATAATACAATATATTATAGTATTGTTAAAATCCAATAGAAACCAAAAGCTTTTGTTCTCGGCAAGTTTCGTTGGTGAGATCGCTTAGGTGCTTTTGAAGAAAGAGAGAGAGAGAGAGAAATCAGAAGAAATCAATTAGAGAAAATCTGAAATGTCGTTCTATATATTCGGTCCAATAATTAGCTAAAATAAAGTCCTTAATTTAGTTTTTAAGTTTTTATTCGATGAAACCGGCAATTAAGTAATAAGTCTGCATTTTGCAATCTGTAAAATTAATAATCAAATAATCATTCAATATTTTATAAATAAATAAATAAATAATTCTTCGTATAAAATTGATAGTTAAATAACAAGCCTGTATTTTAGAATTTTGTAAGACCCATAATCAATTAATGAATCTTTATTCCGTAGCTTATAAATACCCTAATAATAAATTTATAAGATTTTATTAAAAAATCGATGAGTCTTAAATCAATTGAACGATTTGTATTCACTTAGAACGCTTACTGAACGCTTAATGTTTAAAATTCATTAACACGAGAAGCCAATTTTGTACGCCATTTGTGGAAAATTTAATCATTCTGGAATCTTTATTCTAATACTTTCTATACTGTCTTGGTCCTTTCTAGACCTTATTAATATTTATATATATTTTAAATATTACTGATTTGCGATATTATAATATTAAAATGAATTCATTCGAGATTCTAACATTCTACTAGCATATTTGTAATTTTTAATGAATATTTTTAAACTTAAATGTAATAAAACTTTTTTGATATTTTTTTGTTCATTCGTATTACATTTGATATTCTACATAATATTCGATGTAATAAGTGAAAGCAAATTGACATTATCAGTTCATATTGACTAATTTAACAAAAAATAAAATGCTTTATTAACTCTATCCTCTTGATTCAGCATATAATGATCGTTTTGGTACGTATGATACAAATTGCTCGCCATTCAATGTTTTTATCGATCGTATAACATGTTTACAACCTGTTCAATAGTTGCGTAAATAATTCATTAGGATAGCCATTGAAGGGAAAAATAATTTTTCGAGAGAAATCTTTACTTCAAGTGAATTTCTTCGAATTTTTTTTTCAAATCGATTATAATTTAAGATATTTCAAAAAGAATCTGAGTTGAATCATCAGTATAATAAAATACCATACGTTAATAAGATTATAACGTATCCTATAAACTTATACGAGATTATATCGTTGATAAATATATGTTAATGCAAATGATAAATATTTATATACATTATTATATTTGTTTGTTATTAAAATTTTTTTTGGAGTTAATAAAGTTGAGAAAATATATCTCGTCGAATCATTTTTTGATCATAGATTATTTTTCTAATAAGTACAATTGTTTGAATAAATATAAATATCGTTATTTACAATTGAATATTGTAAATGTTCAATATATAATTCAGTTATTATAGTTGTTAATTTAATTTTAAGGGAAGTTAGGTATGAACGAAATATTAATGAAATATTGTTACATTATAGGATTTATGTTCGTAATATATGCCTATCATTATTATTATTATTTTATACAATTTTTTATATTTGTGATATTTACCTAATATCTTGTTGTTTATTAATTGTGTGCTCATGTAAACGATTTTTTTTTTAAATATCGTTTTATCAGTGTTATTAGAAAATGCATTCCTAGTATCGCATCATATTTTTAAAAATGTAAAAGTTTGTCCATGAATATATTCGTAAAATTATTTTACATTAATCACAATTTGTCTTAATACTATAGTTAATTATTATAGTAAATGCAAAGTATAATTTATTACTATAATTAATTATTATAATTAATCTAAATTATAGTTAATATATTATAGTTAATGTGAATATCGTTTTTATTCACTACAATGTCTTACAATTTATGTTGAGTTTAATAATAATAAAAAAAAAAAACGAACAAAAAATCAAAGTGATAAACAGAGAAAAAATATTTATTACGAATATATGATTAGTCTTTCGTTTAATATTTTTAAATACAAAAGAAAAAGAAAAAAAAATTATATGTAATTGTATGAAATTATGTGTAAGCATATATATATATATATATATATATGTATGCTGACGTAATGATAAAGGCAATATTAAAATTATACATTATATGTATATAAATTATAAATTATACATAATGTGCAATAATAATAAAAATTAAGAAAATGTCTCATATAGATTCCACTCCAGGGGATTATCTCTGTGTAAAATATATGTAAATACATATGTATAGAAACGATTATTGAATCGATATTAAATCGATAGATAAGAAAAGGAAAGAGCTAATGGAGAATCGTGAAATCGATATAACACGTGTCAAAAAAAAAAAAGTAGTTAGATCCTACGAGAAAGAATTCAATAAATTTCAGGTGTCACTGACAAAAGAAGCAAAAACAAATCGGACGATTTATTTCAATTAATTAATTGACAGCGATAAAAAGGGAAGAAAATAATTCTCGATATAACCAGAGTAATCGTTTTATAATCATTCTATTTTTACGTAATATTAACTTACTTACGTCAATCCTATAGTATACTTCACAATATTTAAACTTACATGTAAAACACAAAATCTTCTTTTCCTTAAAGTAATGAATTATCTTCGAGTTGACGAGAGCGAATTATTGATAGAATTAGATAATAATAAGGAGCAAGTTCATAACGTGGATGTCCTTCGTGGAGAGCATAAAATATCCTACTACGTAAAGACGCAAAAGCACAGTTGCTTAAATTGGCAGCAATTATATGTATTAAACAGGTATATATTTCAAGCTACTAACTTGTTAAGATATAATTCAATAAATATTAACGAATATTATTCACACTTAAAACACTAAAGATTGTTAATTTCAGTAATAGATGTATCATCTTCGAGCGATAAAATTAAACTGCGAGTGAATGAGAAGGTCAGAAGGAATACGATCGTAATGCGCATGTCCTTTGTAGAGGAGCTGTGGGGGGGATAAAATGTCCTGCTATCTAAAGACGCAACAACTAATTACTTAATATCTGGGAATATACACTTGTTTGACATATACAATTGCGACGATGTGTGTAAAATCTTACAACACGATAAAAATTTTACATAAGCTAAAGCAATTAAAAAAAGTCTTCTTACAATTCAAGACAATTTCCAACAGTTCTCTTCTACGTTTAATTATTAAAATTTTACCAGAAGGGACAATTAAAATACTTAATCAAGTTAAAAACGTGGATTCGAAATCGATCAAAGTTAGTTACTCATCACAGACGGCAGTATGCATTCAAAAGAAGAGGATTATATCAACAACGGGTATTACGCTTGGAATCTTCGATTATTTAGATTAATCGGTCTATTGGAATACCACTCATCGTTGAAACAACAGATTTACATTTGTTCTATAAATATTATAATACTCGTAGAATTAAGTCAATTGGTAATTTTTCTGATTAATGAATAAATATTTCATATAATTTATGAAGAAAAAGATTTTTTCAAAGAACAATTTAAATGACTGCTCATTTATTAGATATAACTAATAACGGGTTGTATTTTAGATTTATATATTTTTTACATCAGAACCAAAAGAAAATTTGCTCACCGAATTATTGGAAAATCTCTTGCCTACTCTATGCTTCGGGTCTTGCTATTGGAACCTATTGTTGAAGGATGCAATTGTCCGCAATTCTTTTCAAATATTTTTTAATAATTATAAACGACATACTTGTGTGTTATAATAATTAATTTATCGTGTAACTTTTAGATGAAGAAAATTATGCGTCGTATTAATTGTGATTGGATAGATTTTGCAGACAAGCCGGAGTTAATAATATTAAAAAAATATGCGAATGTAAGCAGACAATCTACTATTATAATCGCAAGTGAGTAAAAGAAAATAAGCATAGTAAAAGTATTAGAAATTCATTAAGCTACACTTACAAAATCTACATTGAAGCCTTTACTGTTTCAGTTTGTTTTTACATCTATATTATCTTATTGATATTTCCATCTTTATTACGTATCTTTCAATATGTTTTTGGTGTAATAAGTGAAACTGAATTAATATTACCATTTCGTTTTGACTATTTTACAAAAAATCTATTGTTTTACTTTACTACACTTTTGTACGAATACATAGCTCTGTGCATTATCTGCATGATAGGAGTAGCTAACTATTCAATGTTCATAGCAATTATACAGCATGTCTGTGCACTGTTTAATATCATCGAGTAAGCAATCGATAATAATAATGACATATTTTACTAATACAAAATAATAATTTTCAATATACAATTTTTTCTGGATATTTAACTTGCAGAATTGCTGATTATTACAGATGGAGAGTAAATGATTATTTAAAAAAAACATCATACAACAATTATCGTCCGTTTACTCAGGAAGAGGAAAACGAGTGGATCGTCGGTATAATAGAATTATACAATAACGCACTTAAGTTGGTATCTCATTTTATAAAGATATTATTGCAAATTCGTATTATATGTGCAAATTGCTAATATTAATATTACAATATTTCTTTTACTTCTCCAGTTTTGTCGATTTAATAAAATTGTTTTATGAGACAATTTATATATTCGAAGGATTCTTCGCGTCGATTTTAATTATTGTAGATTATATTTACGTAAGTAACATATATGTCGTAAATTAAAAATTGCAAAAATATCGCATCGAGGTATAAAACATAGAAATTTGTTATTAGTTATTTCAGATACTTTGTTTTAACCTAAATGCGAATGAAGGAATAAGAAAATTTTGTTATATCAATGGATCTGTGTTCGTAATATATGTTTACTTTTATCTGGGACAGAAATTAATAGATGAGCACACTGATTTATTCATTCAGTTGTAAGCATTTATAGTATATTCAATTTCGATTTTCTGATCCATTCTCTTAAATATTTATGAATAATTAATTTTTCTAGATGTCAAATCTCGTTTTATTTGTTATCATTGAAAACGCAAAAAATATTACTTCTACTGATTATAAAAACCATGAGACCATGTTATCTTTCTGTAAAGGGACTGGTCATAGTATCTCACTATACTTTTGCGAAGGTAACATATTTTTTGCAGATATACAGAACAACGTTCTGCAGATATAGATTCTGCAGGTGTACAGATAACGATTTCCGAAAAATTTTATATCGATTCAAATTTAATTTTGCAGCTAATGCAGTCGTCATTTTCATTTGCTATGATATTTTATAAGCTGCAATAACTTTAACCGATTAAAAATGATATATATGATCATACCTTACACTGCGTTATAAAAATATATAAATTTTTGCTTTTTTTCTGCAAATACTGAATTGATGCAAATTCTTCGTTTAAGAAGAAATTTTATTTTCCATTATTTAGTATTATTTAAAAATAAAAAATCTTAGTGTATCCTTTTTCATTTTATATTTCCCACTATATATTTGTAATCATATAGTATTTACTTACAATCCTTGAGTTTGCTATTAATTAGAAAAATATCTGTCAAAAAAGAAAATCTGGCAAAAAGAAAAATTCTGTTATGCAATCTTGTTAGGCCATCTTGTCATTTTATTTCAAATGTTTACTAAATAATAATCCTGATATTGGTTACTTGCATCTACACAATAATAGTAGAAATAATAATTAATGTATACCTTATAATGAACGTAGACCTCAAAAGACATTCTTTTGAAAACAGAACCTTAATAGGATCTTTGTGATGGCTGTTGTGTTAGGAATCATACAAATCTATACATTCTAGGTAATTTCCATGAAGGAATAAACAATTGTACATGACATTAACATTGAATAATTATACTTACTCAGTTGTTACATTACAAATGATAAGAATAGAATGCTAACGCGTCACGTAGTTATATTCTATTTCACAAAAGTAATATGTTATCTTCAAAAGACAAAAGTATATAGCAAGAAAACAAAGTAATTCGCATAATCTTTGTTGAAGAGGTAAAGTATGGTAGAATGTTAAAGGGACAACGATAGTTTACTTAATACTTGAAAAGAAACATCTGTTTAATTGTACAGGTAATAAAGGTGGAAAAATGGAAAACGTGATAATGGTTTTAGATAAAATATTGCAAGTAAAGGAGATTTAAATAATTTTCATAAAAACTTTTAAATCAACAACAATGCTTATTTTTTAAGATCACAATAAAAGGGTCAATTAGTGAATATTAACAATTAAGTATTTGCATGTAACGGTCGTGGATGTTACTTTGCAAAACAAACGTATTAAATAAGAAATATTTTTAGAACTATTTCAATTTGTAATATTTCAAATTATCATAAATGGAGTATAGTTCAAAATGAAAAAGATTAAAAAAATAATTCATAACATTTCATACTCAAACGATTTCTATATTCACAATAAAAACGAGAAAGAAAATATGTATGAAAAAAATATATGAGTTTTTGTGAACATAAATAAAAATATTTTACGGGAAGAAATAAACAAATGTTGACACATGAATACTAAACGAAAATTTTTATTAACATATAATCCAATGAATATTAAGGAATATTACTCACGTGTAAAATACTTATATTCGGTATTTCAGTATTAGATGTGTCATCTTCAAGCGATAAAATTAAACGGCGAGAGAATGAAATGGTAAGAAAAAGTGCGATCATAACGCGCATGTCTTTTGTGGTGGGGACAAAATATCCTACTATGTAAAATGCAGCATCAAATTACTTAATAGTTGGGAACATACATCTGTTTTACGCATACAATTGTCGACAATAGGGAAGAAAATTTAGATTTTATATGAAGAATCGCTATGAAAAAATGCTTTTTATCGGTTCGATACAACTTCGATACAAACGTTCTTTCTAACATTGAATTATTAACATGTTACCAGGAGGGACAATTAGAATACTTAATCAAGTAACGAAGGTGGTTCGAAGTCGATCGAAGTTAGTTAGTCACCACAGACGGCAGTATGCATTCGAAAGAAGAGGAGTATATCAACAACGAGTACTACGCTCGTAATCTTCAATTTTTTAGATTAATCGGTCTATGTGAATACCAGTCATCGTTAAAGCAACTAATTTATGTTCGTTTTATAAAGATCATATTAGCCATCGCATTATTTCCGCAGGTAATCATAATTCTTATTAATGATTAAATATTCCATATAATTATTGACGAAAAAATGATATCTCAAGAATTTTAATGACTATTTCTTTATATATTACTAACAAACGAATTATGCTTTAGATTTATATGCTTTTCACGTTAGAATCGAACATAAATGTGATCAGCAAATCATTGGAAACAACTCTACCTACTTTATGCTTCGGATCTTGCTATTGCAACCTATTGTCGAAAACTACAATTGTATTAATATAATTGTTACAAATACATTTTGCAATTACAAATTATATACACGTGTGTTAGAATAGATAATTTATCGTAAAACTTTCAGATTAAGAAAATTTTGCATCATATCAAACGTGATTGGGTAGATTTTGCAGATAAACCGGAGATAATGATACTAAAAAAATATGCAAATATAAGCAGACAATCTACTATTATAATCACAAGTGAGAAAAAAAAATACATTATAAATAATATTACAAATTCATTAAGATACAATTACTAAAACTATATTATTGTTTTTACTTTTTCAGTCAGTTTTTATATGTATATCGTTTTACTGATGTTTCCATCCTTATTACGTACCTTTCAATACATTTTTGGTGTAAAAAATGAAACTGAATTAATATTACCAGTTCGTGCTGAATATTTTATGAAAAATCAATTGTTTTACTTTATTGCACTTTTGTACGAATACATAGGCATGTGCATTGTCTGCATGGTAGGAGTAGCTAACTACTCAATGTTCATAGCAATTATACAGCATGCCTGTGCACTGTTTAATATCATCCAGTAAGAAATCAATAATAATAATACATTTTACTATACAAAACAATAGTTTCTAATATAGAATCTTTTAGGAATATTTAACTTGCAGAATTTTTAATTGTTACAGATGGAGAGTAAATGAGTATTTTAAAAAAGAACTATGTAACAATTATCGTCCGTTTACTCTTAAAGAGGAAAACGAGTGGATCGTTGATACAATAGAATTATACAATAATGCACTTAAGTTGGTATCTAATTTTATAAGGGTACATTGCAAATTTGTATTATATGTTCAAATTGCTAATATTAATATTATAATATTTCTTTTACTTCTCCAGTTTTGTCGATTTAATAAAATTGTTTTATGAGACAATTTATATATTCGAAGGATTCTTCGCGTCGATTTTAATTATGGTAGATTATTTCTATGTAAGTAATAAATTTATAGAAAATTAAAATTTTTAAATAACGCGTATCGGGATACAGGATATAGAAATTTGTTTCTAGTTATTTCAGATATTTTGTTTTACCCTAAATGCGAATGAAGGATTAACAAAATTATGTTATGTCATTGGATCTCTGCTCGTAATATATGCTTACTTTTATCTGGGACAGAAATTAATAGATGAGCACACTGATTTATTCATTCAGTTGTAAGTATTTATAGTATATTCAATTTCAATTTTCTAATCCATTAAAATTAAATATTTATGAGTAATTAATTTTCCTAGATGTCAAATCCCCTTTTATTTATTATCATTGAAAACGCAAAAAATATTACTTCTATTGATAATGAAAACCACGAGACCATGTTATCTTTCTGTAAAGGGATTGGTCGTAGTATCACACTATACTTTTGCCAAGGTAACATATTTTTTTCTGTATATAATTAATGATATTTGAAAAATTTCATATCAATAGAGATTTAGTTTTGCAGTTAATGCAGAAATCATTTTCATTTGCTATGGTATTTTTTAACTTGCAATGATTTTAAACGATTAAAAATGATATATGATCATACCTTACACTGCGTTATAAAAGTATATAAATTCTTGCTTTTTTTTTCTGCAAATATTGAATTGATGCAAATTCTTCGTTTAAGAAGAAATTTTATTTTCCATTATTTAGTAATATTCATAAATAAAAAATCTTAGTGTATCCTTTTTCATTATATATATCCGTGTTTACATTTGTTGTTATATAACATTTTCTTACAAAGATGGGATTTGTTATTACTTAGAAAAATATCTGTTAAAAAAGACAATCTGCAGAAAATAAAAATTCTGCTATAGGCAATTTTGTGATTTTATTTCAAATGTTTGTTAAGTTATAATTCTGATATATGTCATGTATGTGTACACAATAATAGTACAAATGGTAATAAAACAAAATTATACTGAATCTACACTTGAAAAGATATTCTTTTGAAAACAGAACTTGAACAGAATCCTTCTGATGGCTGTTGTCTTAGAAATCACACAAATCTATACATTCAAGCTAATTTCCATGAAGGAATAAACAATTGTACATGATATTAACATTGAATAATTATACTTATTCATTTGTTACATGACAAATGATAAGAATAGAATGCTAACGCGTCACGTAGTTATATTCTATTTCACAAAAGTAATATGTTATCTTCAAAAGACAAAAGTATATAGCAAGAAAACAAAGTAATTCGCATAATCTTTGTTGAAGAGGTAAAGTATGGTAGAATGTTAAAGGGACAACGATATTTTACTTAATACTTGAAAAGAAACATCTGTTTAATTGTACAGGTAATAAAGGTGGAAAAATGGAAAACGTGATAATGGTTCTAGATAAAATATTGCAAGTAAAGAAGATTTAAATAATTTTCATAAAACTTGACAACAACACTTACTTTT